GGCTGCTGCTGCGGCCGCGGTCCCGGAATTTAACCAACACGCGGCTGTCCACCGCCACCCCCGCCCGCCCCGGGCCACGGCTTTTCCGGGAGAGCCCACCGCGCCCAGCTCTCTCCTACTCTGCGCCCTGCTGGCTCGGTCCCAGCAGGGTCGTGGCTGGCACTTCTGGGCCGTTGGCTCTTTCCAGAGCTTTCCAGCTCTTGGAGCAGCAAAGACGGCGAGGAGGAGAATGTGGGGCGGGGGCTGCGGCAAGGTCCAGGCCCCTCGGGCTCCGCGGGGCCCCTGCCTCGCTGTACGCGGTGGGACAAGCCCCAGGTCTCTCGGAACCAGGCTGCGCTTTGCGCCGCCGCCGCTGAGCTCCGAGAGGGCTCCTGAGCTTTCCTCTCCCGGTTCCAAGGACTCGCTTCGCGGGCGGGGCCGGATAGAGCGCCGAGGCAGGGGCTGAGAGCGTAAAAACGCTCGGTGCTTCCTCGCAACCAGTCGGGAGGCTGGCGATGGGAAGCAGGAGACCTCTCTCTGGGCTCCAGTTCTTCCACCTGATTGATCCCGGGTGGTGACAATTCTCTGTTCACGGTGTTTAAGGGAACCGATGGCAAAGAGCACCCGAAGCGGGGATGCCCCGACCGAGCTCCGGGGGTCCCCGCACCACGCGGGGTGCGAGGAGGAGAAACAAGCCAAATCCTAACCCACACCCATGCCCGCCAGGCCGCGGAAAACATTTTACTTTAATCCACTGCTACTTCTTCCAGGTGGAGGCATCTCGTCTCTTCCCGTGCGTGGGCACGACTTGAATTTCCCCACTTTGTCTTTTTTCCACATCCAAGTTTGCCTGAAAACAATTCAAAAGCTGAAGAAAACGATCGCGGGTTGGCGATGTGCCCCACTTTACACTCTCCACTCCCTGGAAGAGAGACGACAGGTTGGGAATCCCCCTCCGCCCCCCAACGGACAGAGGAAACCGAAGCCTAAGAAGGGCAGAGGATGCCTCGAGGCCACTGGGCCAGTAACAAGCTAAGTGGAATTGGCGGCCTCCCTCGCTGCTGCAACGGGGGCAGCGCGGTGTGGCACGGCCCCCTTCCTGGTAGTGCATTGCTCTGAGGCTCCCCGACTCCACACAGCCACTGACCCTGACTGTCCCAGCGTAACCCAGTCACTGTGTTGCTGCTGCCCAGGTTCTTGGACCTGATTTGCAAGCAACGGGGCCTGTAGTTTCGGTTGTCACTCCATAAGCCGTGTGGCCCAAGCCAGGCTGTTAAGCACAGGCAAGGCTCTGAGGACTTGGGACTAGAGGACGTGCTGCCGTCCAGGAGGTAAGGAGCCCGGGACCCAAGTTTCCCTTTCAGTGTTGAACCTCCTCCATGAGATTTTAAGCCGGTCCCTTGCCAATCTGGGCCTAGTTTCCTTAAGAACTGGTTATCACTGCATCTGCATAGACGGGCATCTGGGCCCAGGGAGAGGGAGGAATTTTCCTTGACTCCCTGGATCTCCTCCTTTATGTTTACAAAGTGCACTTCCAGGCCCTTTAAAACTCAGGAAAGAAGTCCAGAGCTTTGGAAATAGGGACAAAACTGCCTGTGGCTCAGATCGCCAGCACTGCTCCGCACCCCCCAGACCGCACATAAAGTAGCCCTCAAAGAGGCAGGGTATTCTGAAGGGTTCTGGGGACACACGCAGGACGAAGGCAGACACAAGGCAGATGCACCTCACCCACCAGTGCCTGACTAGGAGAGTGCTTTCTCAGGGGCTGGAACCTCTCAGTAGCTTTCCAATGGCTCTCAGGGGGGTCTGCTACCCCTAAAACCATTGAGTGGCAGCACCTTGCCAGAGAAGAGGGAAAGATCTGACCAGGGAAAAGCAAGGACCCAGGCACTGAGGGAATCTTTTTCTATAGTTTTGAACCAAACGGGTAAACTGTCCCAGTTCGCTCATTAATCCTTTCATTCAAATTTACATTGTGTATTCATAGCATCTTCAAAGGACAGAATTTTGAAATGCATCATTGGATTACATTTATGGACTAGAATCTTTAGGATCCTTCCTTCATGAAAATCTTAGACTCTTAGGGATTCTAACCTCAGAGTGCTCTTTGCCTGCTGGACAGCAGCAGCCAAGTTCGAGAACTAGGATCAGTCCCAGAGGCATGGGTCCACAGACAGCAAACACTGAGGACCCAGAAATGCCGGGACACGGAGGCTTCTAAGCTTAGTCGCTGGAGATTAAGAGTTAGAGAACCATAAACTCCTGGGACCAAATCAAAGTCATGACCCATCAAAGTCAATGATCGTGAATATTACCAGAATTATTAGAACTAGATTTTTTGAGTTAAAGAATAGTGTGAGCCAGCACTAACACTTTGGGATTTAAGGAAGTACAGAGTTGTGGATGTAGAGGAACCAAATTTTCCAATCATACATTTCTAGACAGAAATTCAAATTAAGCAGCATACGCCCTGCAGCTGCAAAACAATATCTAAAATCTGGAGAAGCTGTATCTTTCAGTCGAGGTACAATACTGTCAGGCCCAAAGTCTTCGTTCCAGCGTTTAAAATGGGAGAAACACAATTTTACACTTTAACCAGATGCTTAAAATCACAAGAATATAGTCACAAAGAATTCAGACTTCAGGTCACGGGATAGTAGAATTACAGACTGTGAATTCTTTGATGTATGGAATCATGTTAGGGTAGCAGCCCCAAATTTGGAAATCTTAATCTGAGAGTCTTTGAAATACAGAAGACTACAAAATCAAGTATTCTAAGATTAATATGATGAGAGCGGCTATTTTTTTAAAATGTAAACTTGTTTTTTTCCCCTTTGGAAAAACGCAACTGGATTAAACCTGGGCTTTCGAGTCTGTGTTCCTTTAGAGGGAGGGAGCTGGAGGACTGCAAAGTTCCACTCGGGTCATCCACTGAGAAAGGTCGTCCGGCAAACCCTGCAGTCCCTTCCGCAGCCCGGGTCGCTGCGGCAGAGAGCCTCTTTCTTCCGCGGGCACTTGCCCAATGCTTGGTGGGGCTGAGCCTAACCCCAGCTCCCCGCCACGAAAAACAGGGCGAAAACCCTGGAGGGTCGTGCGGCTCGCTCCGTCCCACCCCGCTCTGCACCTGCTGCCCCAGGGAGAGCTGCGTCTCGGCAAACGCCTCTAGAATCGGCATCAAAGCCTAGAATCCTGAGGGTAGAAGGGGCCTCTGAGATCCGCACGTGCCCTCCGGTTCCCTATTCACAGAGCAGAAAATTGAGGTCCTGAGATTCAAAGGGGACATCCTCAAAGTCTTTTAGGAAAGGCCACGTAGCGAATCCTGGCTGGCCGGACGGCCTCTGCAGGGTGTCTCGGAGACCCGAGGCTCACCTTTAAGGCCAGCGGGAAACGAACTCAGAAACCCGATACCTGCGCAGCCAGAGGGTCGCATCGGCCCTCCCCTTCCCCGGAAGACGCACCCACCCGGAGCACCCCTCGCAGCCCTCACTCCCCGCCGAGGAAGGGGCGGCTCGGCTCCCCCTGGGGCCTCGGGAGTCACCTGGAGCCCTCCCTGGCCTGGGCGAGCTGCAGGAAGAGGTGGCCGCGAGAAGCAGGAGCCCAGCCAGTCTCCACCACGCACACGAAGAGGGGTCTCGAGTCACCCAAGGGCAGGTGCCTACAGGCCGCGGGCAGCCTTTCCCTTTAGTCGGCACAGAAGGGCTCCGCAGAAGCAAACCTTCCGCGCACACCCAAAGCTCATACCAAGAACCGCAGTCCGAACAGACGCGGGTGTGAGGCTCCGCCACGCAGCGAAGTCACGGTGGAGCGGTGGCAAGTCACCTCCCCCATCAGGACAAGAAACCCTGGTCTGAAAGATGAGGGGCGGGATGGAGAATGGGCAGGCCAGCCTGACCGAGGTCTGCAAATCATCCTTGAAAGACCTTAGAAGCCAGTCGGCTGGAGTGGCTTCTCCCTTCCCGGTCCCGACCCCACAATAAGCAAGCGCCTCCTCTGCCAGTTCTCGTCCTCTGTGGACAAAAAGTGAAACAAGCCCTGTTTTCACCTCCACAGCCTCCCGCAGAGGCTGGAACAGCCCGGAATCCCTGAGTCCCGGCGCCGAGCCGACACAGTCTCTGGCCTCTCCCGGGCTCAGTCGCCCCGTCGGCGCGCGCAGAGGAGGCCGGCCCGGGGGCTCTCCAAGCACCCTCCCCGCTCTGACGTCCCGGGCACCCGCCCGCCGCCACGGCTGCTCCTACCTGGGGAGGTGCGTCGGGGCCCAGGGGGCGGGCAGTCGGGGGGCGGGCGGGGAACGGGCGCCGCCCCAAGTTTCCTGCCCCCTTTAAGGAGAAGAAGCCGGTGGAGGGAGGAGCCGGTCCAGGTTTGTGCAGCGGGGAGCCTCGCCGGCGGTCTCGGCGGTAGAGGCCAACCCTGCACAGAGGGAGTCGCCGGCCGCCCCGCCTGCCCCGCGCCACGACCTCGAGGCCGGCGCCTCGCCCCTTGCCCTCCTCGCCGGCCGCAGCCCGGGGCGCAGCCTAGGCGACCCCCGTCAGTGCACACGCCGTAACTAGTTGCCCCTTCTTCTGGCCATCGGCCCGAAGCACGACCTCGACGGCTATCCTCAGGTCAGCGGGCAACCCATCAGCTGCAGGCGCCCCGGCTCCAGCACCACTTCCAGACCCCTTGACTGCCTGCTACCGGCGCGCAAAGGACCCTTCAGCCCGCGAAGGGGTCCTAGTCCGGGTCCCAACACCGCTGAGGGCGCCTGGCCTCGAGCTCCAGAACACGAGCAGAGCCGTCGGTGGGCGGGACGCTCCTGAGCCTCTGTCCCCACCGAGCCAGTCCGGGAACCGCGGGTGCCAGGCCTACGGCGCGCCCCTGCCGGGGAAGCTGTGCTCCAGGTGCCAGCCCGCGAGGACCCTCGGCGCTCTCCGCAGAGGGGCTCGGCGTCCGCTCCGGAGCCCCTGCGTGCCGAGCCCCGCAGCTCTCAGACCGGCCTCGATCCTCGATTGGAGCGGGCGGCGGGTACGCGGGACGGCTGCACCATGACCGCCGAGAGCGGGCCGCCGCCGCCGCCGCCGCAGCCGGAAGCCCTGGCGGCGGTCAAGGAGGAGCGCGGCGAGGCCGCGGCGGGGGTCCCGGCGGAGGCGGCCGGCCGCGGCGCGGGTGGGCGGCGGCGCAAGCGCCCCCTGCAGCGCGGGAAGCCGCCCTACAGCTACATCGCGCTCATCGCCATGGCCATCGCGCACGCGCCGGAGCGCCGCCTCACGCTCGGCGGCATCTACAAGTTCATCACCGAGCGTTTCCCCTTCTACCGCGACAACCCCAAGAAGTGGCAGAACAGCATCCGCCACAACCTCACGCTCAACGACTGCTTCCTCAAGATCCCGCGCGAGGCCGGTCGCCCGGGCAAAGGCAACTACTGGGCCCTCGACCCCAACGCCGAGGACATGTTCGAGAGCGGCAGCTTCCTGCGCCGCCGCAAGCGCTTCAAGCGCTCGGACCTCTCCACGTACCCGGCCTACATGCACGACGCGGCCGCGGCCGCCGCCGCCGCGGCCGCCGCCGCCGCCGCCATCTTCCCGGGCGCGGTGCCCGCCGCGCGCCCGCCGTACCCGGGGGCCGTCTACGCGGGCTATGCCCCGCCGTCGCTCGCCGCGCCGCCCCCGGTCTACTACCCCGCCGCGTCGCCCGGCCCGTGCCGGGTCTTCGGCCTGGTGCCCGAGCGGCCGCTCAGCCCAGAGCTGGGCCCCGCGCCGTCGGGACCCGCGGGCTCCTGCGCCTTTGCCTCCGGCAGCGCCTCTGCCACCACCGCGGGCTACCAGCCCGCGGGCTGCGCCGGAGCCCGACCCGCCAACCCCGCCGCCTACGCGGCCGCCTACGCGGGCCAGGACGGCTCATTCCCGCAGGGGGCCAGCAGTGCCCTCTTCGCGGCTGCGGGCCGGTTGGCGGGGCCCGCGTCGCCCGCCTCGGGCGGCGGCGGCGGCGTGGAGGCCGCGGTGGACTTCTACGGGCGCACTTCGCCCGGCCAGTTCGGGGCGCTGGGGCCCTGCTACAACCCTGGTGGGCAGCTCGCAGGGAGCAGTGCGGGCGCCTACCATGCTCGCCATGTGGCCGCCTATCCTGGCGGCGTAGATCGTTTCGTGTCTGCCATGTGAGCCGGGCGTACGGTCGAAAATTCATAGATTTTAGCAGTTTACACGAACAAAGTATCCCGGAGACCCGAGGACAGGACTGGAGAGAGGGCCGAACTGAGAATCACAAAGAAAGGACAGTGGCAGGAGACGCGCAACCTCCGAGCGCATCGCGTACGCACCTGGTTTACTTCGTGACGGGAGGAAGTTGGGGAAAGGCAGCCTCAGCCCGTGGACCGGGGGAAAAGTCCCCGCAATCAGGCGAAGCGCCAAGGGACTCGCCTTTCAAGTGGCGCAGCGTAGTGTCTACACCAGACGCTAGGATCCGAATTGTGGGGAATCACGATTTCGCTCTTCCCTGTACTGTGCGAAACTCGGGCCTTTTACGCGGGTTCGGCCGCTTGTGCCTTTGACTATGTTGCCACAATAAAAGGCTCCAATAGCGCCTTCCTTCTTAAGGTGAGGAAGACAAGTTTGCAAAAGAAGTAGCTTTTTGTTTTCTTTTTTAAATTGGGGAAATCGCTCTGCTTCGCTTGGCCTGGCGCTGGTTTTCCCTGCCTCTGAGAATGGCAGCCCCGGCAGAGTCTGGACTGTGTGCATCAGCTCCACAGTGTGACGCAGTCCCATCACCTACACCCCCAGTCTCCCCATTCGTTATGCAGGAGGGCTGCGGGATTCCTAAGATCTTTCAGGGCCCCATCCTCCTGGATGCTGCCCTGCATATCGGCAGCATCCGTAGGCCACCCAGGGCCTAAACTAACCCTATTCCAGGGAATCAGAACTGTGCTCATGCAAGCATCTATTCTAAAATCTCCTGGAGCCTGGATTGGCTCCAGGAGTTGATTGCATGAAAATTTCTTGAATCTTTTGAGCATGATGTGCTGATCGTTTGGCAGCTATTTCGTCTGGGTCCTAAGTGTATTTTTCCAATGAGGCAGATAGAAATACACGTGTCCTTTGTCCACTCTTTCTCTTCATCAAGCAGCTCTGGACGCAGTGGCTGAACTGAATGAAGTGCAAAGATGACAGGGATTCAGGGGAGAGCCCATTGATGACAGCTTTCAGTTTAGGGGGTTGACTCTTCCATCCCTCCGCCACGCCTCAGCAGCCTCCCAGTGCAAAAATGAAAGTGAAAAATTAATTGGTGTGGTCAGTGAAGTAAGCTTTAGGAAGAAACCGGATTTTAAATTTTGTTTTGTATCAGTTTGTTTTATGCAGCAAGCTAACCAAAATCAGAAAATCCAGCACCCCCCCTTAAAAAAAACCTTGTAACTTTCTATTCTGGAGCAAAAATATCTAGCGTTTCGTATTTCAGAGGCTTGGGCGCAGCTTTCAGGTAAATCCGAGTGTTCAAATGAACTGTTTTAATTTTTAAAAATCTTTCAGCAGTGAGTTCTGGCAAGAGAAACGCAGCCTCTTTGTGCATAGTCACCTTGGTAGGGAAGAGTGGAGGATGTGTGAGAAAGAAGACTGAAAACACTGGTACTTTTTATTTTAAGTTTGGGGATTGCCCTGCCCTGTTCACACCGCGTGGATGGGGTTCAGTCCAGGCGGGTACTTGTCTAATTCAGTGTTGTCCAACAGGAATACGGATTCACGTGTAATTTAAGTTGTTCTAGTAGCCACATGAGTAAAATAAAAAGGAACAAGTAAAATTAACTTATAATATTTTGTATTTCATCCAATATACCTAAACTGTCATTTCAACAAATAATCAATGTAAAAATTGTTAAGCTGTTTTACTTTTTTCATGCCAAGTCTCCCAGATCTGGAGTGGGTTTTGCACTTACCAGTCATCTAAATTTGTACTAGCCACGTGGCAAGTGCTGGGCAGCAGTGAGTGGCCGACGACTGCTGTGCTGGACAGTACGGGCCTAGATGCTGGTCCTTCCTGACTTTGCTGGTGGGGAATGGCCACCTGGAGGTAGAAGGCAGCCGCAGCACCGACCCTGCTGCCAGTGGGTCCGGGTCCCAGTCCCAGCCTCCTGACCTTGGAAAAGTCTCCTGCTGGGCTTCATCTCCATATGGACCCTTGCTGGTATTATAGTCAAAGGTTCTCCACCCACAGCTGCAGAGTCTGGTTCTCCTAGGCAGAAGTCACCGTGGCTTACCTAGTTGGCAGTTGCCAGAAGTTGAGAGCCCTCCACCCAGGGATTTTGTCAGTCAGAGGGTCAGGGCTGGAAAATGGTCTGTGCATTCTGTTAGTACAGGAGTGTAAACTTTCTCTGTTTTTTAATGACCAAGTTGAGTGTTTTGACAGCACCATTAACTTTAAGCCAGTCCCTTCTCCTCTAGCGTCCTCATTTGTGAATGGGAATGTGTGACCCCCTGCCTTACAGAGTCTTCCTGCAGCTAAACAAGACAAGAGGGAGAACCTCTCTTCATAACCTGTAACGCACCAGGCCCAGGAGGCAGGAAAGGCTTCAAAATTAAAAAGCACAGTCTTATCCCCAGGCCTTTTGGAACATCACGATAAGGTTCCGGGAACGAGACAGATGGGGTGGGAAAGTGCTCGGGTCTTTGGACCCCACGGTCCTTGTCAACTGTCAACTAGGACCGCAGGTGAGATAATGCCCAAAGAAGGGTCTGTGCCCAGAAAGCGAGGACTCGGCTAGGAGGGGACGCAGTGCTCGCTGGGGACCGGCGAGGGTTGGGGCCTCAGCCCTCTCAGCCTCCAGCCGAGCTGGCCACAGACACCCAAACTCCTGTGCCCCCAGGGCCTGGCTGAAACGGAAGCTGCGCTGGCTAGCCAGCACCCCTCCGGCTTCCCACAGGACCAGGGCTGAGGGGAGGGTCGCGGCGGGCGCGGGCACCGCGGGCACGGGCACCCCCCCCCTCCCCAGTGGAGTGACTGCAGGATCTTGAGAACATTTCACTGCAGTGCCTTGGACATTCCAGCTCCAAGAATCTCCAAACCGTGGAACAGGACCTCCCGGTTCCCCATCTGGGGGCTCAGGGACTGGAGGTGAGTTTCTCTTAATTTTTTTTCTAGTTCTTATTGTGAAGCCAGAAAAATCGTTTGCCCCTCGCCGGGCCCTGCACCCCAGCGTTGTGTGAAGGCGCCCCGGGCCCTGGTTAATTAGATGCGTTCTTCCCTAATTGCCCAAGGCTCGTTAGACTCCCCCCCCCCCCCCCCGAGCTGTAACATTTATTTTCTTTCAAATTAATTTAGCTCGCAATTAAGCCTTAGGAAACCAGCAACAAAAGCAGAATTGGCTCGAAGTCCTTTACTACGGAAACGGATTAGGGCGCCTTCTCACCCAGTTTAAGGGAAGATTCCAGTTCCGACAGCAGAGGCGAAGGGGAGCGGCGAGCTGCCGGCGCGGCGGTTGATGGTGAAACTGTTGGCGCGCTCGCTCGTCCCGGGGGTTCGCGTGCCCAGAAGAGTGAGGGCAACTTGGTTGAATTGCATTCAGCCTATTTGAGCTGAACGAAGTCAACACCCAGGACATGAAGCAGCTGCCATGTAGTTACAGTTAACTCAGCATATTCATAAGCATAATCTCATTTGCTAAGAACCTCACGAGAATTTGTTTTATTAAAATAATTTTCTTCTTAATACCAAATCGGCACACCTTCATTTGTTTTTTTAAAAAGAAAGAAGAAAAAAAATCAAAGGAAACTATTGCTTACCCAGAGAAAGCACAGCAAACACCCCCCTGTGAATATTTTGTCCAGTTTTTGTTTTTCCTGTGGAGGAGGCCTGAGCCAAAACTTTGTCCCTGAAATGCTGAGACCTTTAAAAAAAATTTGCAATCACGGTTGAAAGGCTGGGAGATCTTGAACAAGTTTCTTTCTGCACTGGGTAGGCCTCGGTCCCCTTTCACCCTCACCCTCTCTGATTCCTCTTTTCTCAGTCATTTGAACAAGGATGCCCTTCTCCCAGGGCCAGCAGAGAGGCTTGGAGAGATCTCAGCGCTGCGGTGTGCCCTCCCAGCCTCTTCACACAGGACGCTGAGGCCTTGGGGCTCCCAGTGTGGGCCACAGACCCGCTGCACGGGCATCCCCAAGGAGCCGGCTGGCAATGCCGCATCTGAGGCCCGCCCCCAGATCTCCTGGACCAGAACCTGCATTTCAGCAAGCATCCCAGGTGATGCGTATGCCCTAGGCAAAGGGGCAGAACTTTAGAGAAATCGGAAGGGGTGGGGCAGATGTGCTTCGCTGTTGAGATCAGAGATCCAGAGTAACTTCCAGGAGCCTCCTGTTTCTGACCAGGAACCCCAATACATGCTACCCTGTGGCTCTGTCTGCATGGGAGAGAGGGGGACAGGACTCGGGGGGAGGAGCACTTCGCCACCTGCCTTAGGGGTACTTTCTGAGTCTTGGAATCCTACACCTCATATTCCCAGCCTTACCATGACTGTGACAGTGACAATTATTGGGAGCGTATCTGACAGCATCTTCAAAGCTGAGGTGTCAGTTAGAGCCAGGGTAGGAGCCCAAGCTCCTGAGTCAATTTGGGGACCTGGGGTTCTGTTCTTCATACCCTCCCTAAGCAGCAGTATTTGTCCAAGCATGGAATAAACTTGGCCTTTGATCCTTAAGCTCCAGCCCCGAGTCTGGGGTAGTTGGGGGTTCAGGAGAACAAAGTTCTCTTTTCAGAGCACAGTAGCCGCCCAGAAGGGGCCCCATATTTGAGTCCATCTGGGCTGAGGGCCCTCTAGTGGAGCATTGTAAGGGCCCTTTGGACAGCCCCAGATCCTGGGCACCTGAGCAAATCCTCCCTGCCCCCAGTGCACACACCTCCCTGCAGAACTTGGTTTCTAGGCTCATTCTGTCCCTGGGAAGTGCTGACTCCTTGGCGTGACAAGGTAACTGGGAGGGGAAAAATGTCCCTGATTAAAAGCAGTTCAGATGGGGCAGGCACCAGGAAGAATGGGGCCAGAGCCCAGACTGGGGAGGCATTCTTCCCAGATTTCCATAGCAACTCACTCGGGAGAACCGGGACTCTCATCTCAGTGCTCACGTGCGTTCTCAATAACGGGAATAAGTAGGAACAGCATGAGTGTGTGCAGAGCTTCCACAGACCTGGAGAAGGGGCACATGACTTCCCCGGGGTCCCATAGCTAAGGGCTGAGCAGGGCCAGAGCCCATGTGTCTCCCAAGGAGGCTGCATTCGATTATCATCTTAATAAAAAGCAATGTGGGAATGGAAGTAGTCACCTGGTGGGGGGCCGTGGAGGTTGGGGTGCAGTGCAGCTCGGGGCAATTCCCTGTTAGGCCCTCCATTGTATGGATGGGTAAACTGAGCCTGGGACTGGTTTAATAAATGGTTTATAATAACTGGGAGGGAAATGCAGTGTGGGCTAGTGCTTCTCAGCCCAAACTGAGCAGTGAACCAAAAATAAATAAATAAATAAATAAATAAATAAATAAATAAGGCCCTGACTGGGGTGGTTCGGGTGGTTGGACATCATCCCACAAAGCGAAAAGTCGCCAGTTCGATTCCCAATCAGGACACATACCGGGTTGTAGTTCAGGCCCTGTCAGGGTGCCCGATTGATGTTTCTCTCTCACATTGATGTTTCTCTCTCTCCTCCACCCTTCCCTTTTCTCCAAAAATAAATAAATAGAATCTTTTAAAAATGGA